AGGGAAAAGGGCGGCATACAAATAAAGTATATTCTATTCTATTCTATTCTATTCAACTATCGGTATATGTAAAATACTTTCCTCCTTTTTTAAAGAGAATTTTTGAAAAATAACTAGGAAGATTTTAATCCTATTTTTCAAATAAAACCAAGCTTTCATGTAATTTTCTTGGTAACAATATGGAAATGGCTTGCATTGCCTTCTTCCAGCAATTTCTTTTGAATTTGCCATTCTAACCCATAGCCTAGAATCGAGATTTCCTGGTGATTTTCCATCCAAATGCCAACCAAGCTTACCTTTTTGATAGTAACCAAAGTCACTTATATGATCTGAGAAAAATGGCAAGCACCATTCTGCTGCTTTCCCATAGTTAATAGATAGTGGCAATTTGTAATTGGACACTAAACAGGAATTATCCAAATTCTTGAATGCCAATTTTGCAATCTTAGACACAACGAAAAGAATTACTTAGTCACAACAAAAGAATGCTCTCACTGGTATGCGTGCTTCCCATTCAGCAAATATAACTTTGTAACCGCTATATTAGTAAGAACAAATAAAGTTTTTCAGAGTGTTGTTTCTTTTTCACCTTCTCACCTATTCAGCCAAATGTGCAAGGGATTGATAAGACTTTTTAGTTCTTTCTCTTCTGCTTCAATTTCTATGCAAGTCTGCAAGTTCTCATTAGCTATTAGTAACATCTCTTCCGTCATCATATCTGATGTGATGTTATAGTATTGCTGAAGATCAAAAAGGTTCATCAATAAATATCAAGTTTATCTCAAATTGCGAAGACCAAAACACATTTGATTACAAAAATATACAAATAGTAATACTAACAGAATAGGGAGAACAATTTTAATTTATGACATTAGGTGTCCAAGAAGAACAATATATATACAGTACGTAAATAGTAAAATAACATAGCATGGGAAGCAGATTTTTGTTTTGTCAGATTTTATTTTTGCGAGACCCTTATTTCTAATACGGAGTCAAGAACAAAGACATATTAGTTTAGTTTAGTTTATTTGTCTTGTATGCCGCCCACTCCAGAAGGACTCCGGGCGGCTCACAATAAACAAGGGAAGGGGGATAAATAGACAAAAACAACACTTTAAAATACACAACATTCACAGTTTCCGTGGAGCTGGATGTTTCACAAGCCCCCCGGCCTGCTGGAGTTTAACTCCTCTTGGAGTTTAACAATATAGGGCCTCTGGACATTTCTTAGCAATAGCNGAGATTGCAAAATGTTGAGTTGGCTTGCTCCTTTAATTTGCTATCCTCCTGAGTTTGATGGGTGTAAAAAACTGCACAAAACCTAAAAGGATATAAAGAGGTGGTTTTTTTAAAAAAAATATCATTATTTTTGGTAAATGATTCTACAGAGAGACCCTGTAATGGGAAAGGATGGCTGGTTGGAAGGCAACTGCTAGGATAGGGACCCGTGATGGCTAACCTTTTTGTAGTTGCGTGCCTGCGCCCACACCCATAATGCAATGCCCACATGACACCCTCCCAACCCCCTGTGCATGCATCCATGACCCCCACACACACGCTTCCGCATGCACGCATGACCCCCCTCCGCCCCATTTTGGGCCTAGTGGACCTCCCAACAGCCTCATGGGACCAAAAATGAGACACGTGGGGGAGCTCCGCACCCTGTGCACACGTGCATGCACCACCCAATTTCTGTGCCTGCATGACCCCCGTGCATGTGTGCCATCTCCTGCATGCACCCCACTGCTCATGCATGTGCAGCAGAAACCTAAAATCAGCTGGCCGGTGAGTGGCACATGCGCATGCGTGGTAGAGCTGAGCTGGGGTGACGGCTTGTGTGCCCACAGAGAGTTCTCTGCATGCCACCTGTGGCATGCATGACATAGGTTCGCCATCACGGATATAGGCCAAAGTAAGAAGTTGTTTTTATTAATATTGGTTACAACAACACAGTCTTGCAACTCTGACCATCGTTCTGCTTCTCTCCCCTACCTGGAGACTTAGGCATGTCTTTCCTCTTGTTGCTTTAATAGTGGATCTGATCTATCTCTGTCGAAGTTATCTTCCTTACTCTCTACATCAAGAGTCTGACTGCAAGAACTATAATGATCCTTTAAATGATATAAGGATTTTGAAATCCTCTGGCAAATCTCTTATTTAAAGAGTTATTAAAATTGTCTCTTAATTTGTCATAGGACATATTACTGCCTTGTTCATATGGCAGTAATGAAATTAAACAAATAGTATTGCTAAGAGAGCCATGAAAGCAATTAGGAAGAGAGGTTGGAAACTCCGGATAAATTGATCCCAGCTAATGTATTCAAAACATGAATAATGTCCGTTGATTTACTAAATGTAGAATAGCTCCATTTATGCTAAGGCTAAATGTATATATTTGCATTAAACTATGGTATTAGGATGGGGCCACGATGGCTCAGGGATTAAGAACGCGAGCTTGTCATCTGGAAAGCTGACGGCCTGGGTTTGAGACCCAAGTGCCACACAATGGGGCGAGCTCCTGTTCCTGCCCCAGTTCCTGTCCAAAAGTTCAAAAGCATGAAAATGCGAGTAGATAAATAGGTACCACTTCAATGGTAAAGAGCAGCATTCTGTATTTTGACACATGCTCTGTGCTGTGGCATGAGGTCACGGCAGCCACGTGACCATAGAAACATCTTTAGGCAGCTTTCTGAAGGCAGCACAGCTTTATGAAGGCTACGGCCATATATTTGCCAGAGAAGCTAGGTCCATAAAGGAGACAGCGGAAGGCAGAGGCGGGCTTCTGCTTTGATGCATGCAAAAGGCTCCATGTCTACGTGAGGAATTGGGAGAGAAGGAAGCTGGGTGAATACTATCTGGGACTTCATGGGCACTGCAGCTTGGGACAGTGCTGCTGGGAAAGGCTGGGGAAC